CCCCCCCGGATCCCTCCAGCCACAACTCTGGCTCTAGCAGGAACCCTCCTCCGAGTCGCCTTTGGCGCCTTCTCTCCTTTACAGGGAAGTTCTCGACTTATGGCAGCTGCTTTAGGGATGGTCCAAAGTTACAACGGCAGTGGAAAAAGTGACCGAGGGCCGTTTCACACAGGCGCAACCTTTGCAGCATCCCCGTGGTCAGGGGGTCAGAACTCGGGTGCTTGGCAAGTGGTTCATACTTACGACCGCTGTGGTGTCCCTTTGACCCCTTCGGACCAGCAAAGTCAATGGGGAAGCCGGGTTCCCTTCACAACCGAGTTACTAGCTGCAGTGATTGTGAAGTGATTCACTTAATGACTGTGGTCGTAAAATGAAGCCTGACCCACTCACCAAATGTCTCACTTAACAGCAGACATGTTGGGCTCAACTGTGGTCGTAAGCCAAGGACCAGCTTCGCCTTTCCCTCTCTTTCACTGGCTGTGCAATGGGACTCCGGTGGCCCCCCCAGGGCCCCCCTCAAACAAGGACCCCCCCCCTCACCCAGCTCCCTCCCCTCCCTGGCTCTGCTTTCCTCCCGGCCTCCTTGCCAGGCCGCCCTGCCCCTCCTCCCTGCCTTTGACTGGGCGGCTGAATGCTCTCCTCCCCCCCTTGCCCACCAGCCCCCCCCCCCGTGGCCATTGAGAACATCTCCCCCCTTCAGAGCTGAACGGTTGCCCCCTCCCCCCCCTCTTTCCCCCCTGATTGGGGCCTCAATCTGCCATGGAGGAGGCTCCGCTCTCCCGCTCTCCCGCCCGTCTGCCTGGTGCCACGTGTGCCAGCCCACACAGGGGTATAAATAGAGGAAACCCGCCTGCCACCCTCCTCCAGGTCTGGGTTACAGGCAGTCCTCGACTTATGACCATTCGTTTAGTGACCGTTCAAAGTTACAACATTGCCTGACTTACGACCGTTTTTCACACGGTGAACAGTTCCCATAGGGTCACGTGATCAAAATCCGGGGCCTTGGCAAGCGGCTCCTGTTTATGACGGCCGTTGGTCACAACCCGCAAAACTCAAAGGGGAATCCAGATTCCCTTTAACGACCAGGCTACTGACTTCACAGCTGCAGTGATTCACTTAACAACGAACCTCATGAAATGGGACAAAGCTCGCTTAACAACTTTCTCACTTAGCAACAGAAATCATGGTCGTAATTTGAGGCCTGCCTGTACACAGATCCCAGGAGACAACTTCTTTTTTTTAAAAGTTTTTATTTTTCACTTCTTGAGGTTCCAGCACCCAAAGCTTAGACCTCTGCTGGGGGCCACCCGGCTCTTCCCCAGCCCCCCCCCCCCGTTCACTTCAAGCCTCGGGCCGTCTGCCAGGACTGTGGTTCCATCCATGGGAGCCCCACAGGACACTCCCCCCAAGATGACTCCCCTTCCCATGTTCCAGAGCACCACCAATCTTAGCGCCTTCTGTGAATTTCTCCCACCGCTGAGCCTCAGAGGGATGAAACCCAATTTGAATACGGAAGGACTGACGGACAGATTACCTGCCCACTCTTAGCGGCCCTACCGATACGGACTGGCTTTGTCAAAGACCCTCCTCCCTTGGGTTGGTGGGAGATTGAGCGGGTTCCTCTGGGAGCATCTGCCACAGGTCTGCCATTTGGACAGCCGCCAGCTCTTGCCCTGCCCTCTGGCTCCCCTCGGCCCCTCTCAGCCCCTTTGCTGCCAATTCAGAAGCCGGGTGATTTATTTGGCACTTATTTGGGTTGCTGATTCATCTCAGAGCAGGGGGTCTCCAACCCAGGCAACTTTACGCCTTGTGGACTTCAAGCAAAGCTGCCCGAGGAATCCTGGGAGTTGAAGGCTTAAAACTGCCCAGGTTTTAGCTACCCCCTCCTAGCACAGCCCTGAAGCCAGGGAGGATTTCTCCAGGTCTCCCCCAAGCCCCCCACTGTCAGCATGAAAGGGACCTCGGTGCAACTTGTCCAATGGAAGGCTCTGCTTGTATCTCCAAGGGTTTCCCTTGCAGGGGGAGGGAAGGCAGAGGCCCATCATCCCCTCCCTCCCTCGGCCTTTCCTGCAGCCCCCCCTCTGCTGCAATCTGCTTCTTTGCAAATATAAATCCTGCTGTTCTCATCTGACGAGTCACGGCTGGGCCACATCCTAAGCCCACCACGGAGTCCCTCCCACACACGGGGACGGCGTCTGTTTGTGCAACCCAGCCCATGCGCAACAGCCTGGTCAGGGAAAGGAGCAGGTCGCTGTGGCACCCGAAAGCCAATTCGTTGTGGGGAGCACCATCAAAGAGCACCGGGGAGGGGGGGGGAGCTTTACTTTTGCTCCTGCGGTGAGCACCTCACCTGGCACACTCAGGCTGCACACGACACAATTGTGATAGGAGTGGAAAGAGAGGGTGAAGCCGCTTCCACTGAGCGTCCGTCCTTCCTTGCTGCTCTGCTTTCTCCAAACTTTGTCCTCCCTCCATTCCCCCCCCCCAAAGATCTTTCTCCAAGTCTAGAACTTTCCCGGAGAGCCTTCAGCACCCGCAGGCGACCGTCCCTCGAGCCCAGATAAAGCCAGCACATCAAGAAGGAAGGAGAGCATCTAGACGGACTCCACACACAGAAGGCAAACAAGAATCGGCCTCATTGCAAAGACAACGGCCGAGTTCCACGGACGTCACCAAAAGGTGCCCTTGCTCCACAGACGGCCGGCCAGAAACGCTCTCGGCCCCTTCGGCCTTGGAGACCCACGAGCAGCGCAGGACTTGGGGCAGCTGCTCCGGGTGCCCCCAAGGGCTGGTGGTGCTTGCTTGGATGCCGGCCCAGCCAGGGATGCACCAGGCAGGCTCCCCTCCTCTCTGTGCCCCAACATCTCTCCTCGCGGAGGCCCCTGCGTACCAAGACCCCCTTCTGGTTTTACAGGGGCCTCTGGAGGGGACAACCGATGAATGGGGGCTGCGGGAGCATCTTTGCTGCAGCGATGAGTGGCTGCACACGGACACAGGGGGGGCTCCAGAAGGCGCTGTGAGCATCCCAGAGCCACAGCAGGACCTGCTCCGCCCTCCGTTTCTGAGCGGAGAAGGGCGCCCCAAGCCAGCCAGGCCGGTTGTCTAGGTTGAAACACTGCCACAGCCCCGGGGGGGGGGGGGCGCCCCAAACCCAGGAGGGAGGGAGGGAGGGAGGGGGGGCAGAGCTGCACAGCTACTGAAAATCCAAGCCCAGAGATAAAAGAAGCACCTTGGAGGGTCGGGAAAGGCAAAATGGAGCTAGGAGGGGAAAACGGGAGGGCTGAGTTCCTCTCCACCCGAGAGAGGCTTCTTCCCCAGATCTCCCCCCTGAGCCAAGCACTCTCCTGCACCCCTAGGTGCCCTCAGTCACAACTCTTCCTCATCTGTTGCATGCACACAACCCACACGCACGCACCCAGAATTGCCTGGGTTCCCCTGCCTCTTGGGCGGAGATGGGAAACGGCCCCCAGCACAAAGGACAGGCGGAGGAGCCCCCCAGGCAACGCATCCCACCACCCGCAATTCACAAACCTCCCCGGAGCCTCCCTGGTCCCAGCCACTGATCTCCTGATGTGTCACGCTGGACCCAACCAATCCAGAAAGATAAGGGCTCTTCACACAACCCTCCCGGCGACAGCCGTAGCCAATGTTGGGGGCTGGTTTCCCAGCCGCACCCAAAAGCTAACCACGTTCAGAGCTAAGCAAGGTTAGCAGGAGCCCCTTCTTTAGCCCTGGAGGAAAAGCCCCCCCGGGGGGGGGGATTCAGACTGGCCTGGGACCGCCCCCCCCCACAAAAGAAGAGACTCCGATACTGACAACTGATCCCCCCCCCCAACTCCTGCCGGGCCCTACAGCGCTCTTGCACCGGCTCGTCCCGGGAAGGAGACCCACTCCGAAGACCCTGAGCCAACGCCTGGCCCCGCCTTAGACCACCGGCTGCCCCTTCGCCCCCACCCCGGCCCCCTCCCTCCCTGGGAAGGAGCGCCCCCCCCCCCGGGACCCTGGGGGCTCACCCTTGACGGCTTCTCCGCGGTTGAGCTGGATCTCGCCCTCGCCCTGCGGCGCGTAGCTCTTGACCACGATGAAGCGGCGGCCGGGCACGGCGCTGTACAGCTTCTTCTTGGGGCCCCGCAGCGGAGCCGGCGCGGCGTGCGGGGTGTGCTCCACGCCCGGCCCGGCGCCCGGCGCCCCCCCAGGCCCGCTGCCGCTCCCGCCGGGGCTGTAAACGAAGACATAGGTTACGCTGCTGATCCCGGGCGCCGGCGGCGGGGGGGCCATGGGCAAGGCGGCCAGGGGCCTCGCGCGGCCCGAGAGCGGAGGAGGGGCGGCGGCGGCGGCGGCGGCGGCGGCGGGCGGGCGGAGAGGGGAGGCGAGGAGCCGGGCGCGGCCTCTCCTTCGGCCCTCCGCCGGGGCACTCAGGCCATCGCGGCCGGCCGGGGAGGTCGCCGCCGCCGGGAGCCGCACCCGCAGCCCGCCGATGGGGGCCCTGCCGGGGCGCCGCCGGGGCGGTCAGGCTGCCGGGCGCCGTTGCTGCCGCCTCCCGCTCCGGTCCGCGCCCCCTCCGACGGCCGCAGCGCCATGGCTCCCCCGCCGCCGCTCCGGACCCCCGCCCGGCTCAGCGGCCGCTGGCGGGACGCTGCCGCCCGGACCGGCCCCGCCGCTGCTGCCGCCGCCGCTGCTGCCGGCCGCCCATGACGGCGGCGGGAGGCGCTCGCTCGCTCGCTCGGCTGCCGGCAGCCACCGGCCGGGCCGCCCGCCTGCCTCGCCGGCTCCGGCTGCCTCCCCCGGCCGCTGCCGCTCGCCAGCCGCTCCTCCCCTCGGCTGGGCGGGGACCCACCGGCCCGGCCCCCCGCCGACGGCCGACTCGGGCTGTCAGACGGAGGGGAGGGAGGGGCGCTCTCGCCCCCGGGACGCCCCCGGCAGAGAAGCGGCAGGCCTTGGCCAGGCTCCGGGGGTCCCGCTCGCTCCGAGCCCCCCGAGCCCTGGATAGGCAGGGGCCCCCGTCTCCCCCGGCCACTCCGGAGCCCCCCTCCTCGGAAAAGCGCCACACCTGGCTTTCCTGGGAGGGGGGGGGGCAAACTCCTGTTTCTACAATCAGCCGCCCAGCTGGGATTCTGCCCTTGAGAGGGGTGGGGGGTGGGGGGGGGGCGATGCCCGAAGAAATGAAGGCTGCGATGGGTTATTGGGACAAGCTGGGACCACCTCCCCCCTCCCTTGGCAGTACAGAAGGTCCAACCTCCCCCCAGCCCCCTCCCAGCCTTTTCCAGTCCTGCTCAGGATATCCCTTCGCCCCCCCAGCCCCCCCTCCTCAAAGGACTTCTTTCCTTTCCACCCACAGAGCCCCCCCCTCCTCCCCAGCACAAGAACCCCACTGGAGAGCCTGGCTTGCTGCCCAGCACCCAAACCGGTGGCAACAGCCCCCCTCCTCTTAGGCCCTTGCAAGCACAGGCAGACCCTCCCCATAAGCACAAACCAGTGTGCCCAGTAAGCCCAGTCCACACTGAGCCGGATTGGTTCATCCCCCCCCCTAACCTGCACCCCCCTCCCAGCTACCTTGGCTCTGCAAGAGGCAGCGAGTTCAAATCAATCATAGTTTCAAGCAGTAGGGAGCCACATTCACAGCACTGCCTGGGGGGGGGGGGGAGAGGCAGAAAATTGCCCCAGGGCTTTCAGAAACCCTCTGCCCCCCCACCCCCGGCCTGGCCTGCTACACACACCCACACACTCTCCCAAAATGACCGGCTCTGTCCATTGTAGGTCCAGGCAGAACATGGCAGGGGAAGGTGGGGTGTGGGAGGGGAGCCAGAAAATGTGAATTTGTCTCTTCAGAAGAGAGGAAGCTCCTTGGATGAGAAGCAAGAGGTTTTCAAAGAAAAACAAAAGAAAACTTCCGAGGGACCTTTGGGGGAAATTATTCTTGGCTGACCCAACGGAGCAAGGATGCCAAAATCCCCCGCCCCCCAAAGGAGCACCCCCAGAAGGGGACCCTAAGGCATCCCTCCCTGGTGCCCTCCAGAAGGAGGCAGCCGGAGAGAGAGACACAACCGCCAGCCAAAGGCTCATCTGGAGGGGAAGGGCCGTTTCCCTGCAACGACGGATCCTCCTGGACTTCCCACCCAGTATATTTAAAACCAAAGCAGCACTAGAAAAGTGACTAATGATCAGTCCTCACACTTACGACCATCGCAGCAAGACCAGCCGCTTGGCAACCGGGGGGGGGGGGTATTTGAGCCTGGTGGTTGCAGTGCGGGACTGCCGGCTCCTTCTGCTGCCTGCAGTTGGGCAGGATGAACCCCACCAGGCTCCAGGGTGACTCAGCCTCCCGTCCTTCAGAGGGGGGTCAGAGGAGGAGCCAGGTGGTTGGGGGCAGGAGGCCGACTCCGTCAGCCGCTTCGAGAGGGCTGGGGAGCCCCCCAAAGCGGGATAGGAGTCTAAGGGCTGTTGCTATTTGCCCCTTGGCCCTGGGTTCAGCATTTGCAACCTTCCCAGCTGGCAATCAGAGAAGCCAGATCTGCTTAAGGACTGCACGACTCACTTAACAACCGCAACGACTGATTTAACAACCCCCGGGCAAAAAAGGGGGTAAAATCAGGAGCGACTCACTTAACAAAGGCCTCGGTTAGCAATGGAACCTCTGGTCACAACTTGTGGTCATAAGGGAAGGGCAGGACTGTTCTCCGGGGAGCGGCAGCCAGCTCTGGCACCCCACAAAGTCACCGCAGAGCTGCAGCCTGACCCAAAGGCCCATAATCCACGTCCTGCCAAGTGCGGAGTTTTGGAGAAAGCACACACACCGTTTCCACGTCATTCCCCCCCAAGTGAGGGGATAAGGATTGGGGAGGGGTCCATTGCAAAGCCGAAGGCCCTACGGAGACCCTGAGGTGACCCAAGGAACCTTTCCTTAGCGCAGTGGTTCCCAAACTTGGCAACTTTAAGACTTGTGGACTTCAACTCCCAGAATTCTCCAGCCAGCAGAGCTGGCTGGAGAATTCTGAGAGTTGAAGTCCAACAAGTCTTAAAGTTGCCAACTTTGGGAACCACTGCCTTATTGGAGCAGCAACTGAGGGACACCCACCCTTTCGAGGTGGTGCAGTGGTTAGGGTGCAGCACTGCAGGCCACTTCAGCTGACTGTTATCTGCAGTTCAGCGGTTCAAATCTCACCGGCTCAAGGTTGACTCAGCCTTCCGTCCTTCCGAGGTGGGTAAAATGAGGACCCGGATTGTTGTTGGGGGCGATATGCTGACTCTGTAAACCGCTTAGAGAGGGCTGAAAGCCCTATGAAGCGGTATATAAGTCTAACTGCTATTCCTATTGCTATTGCTATTCACGGTCAACACAACACAACTGCTTTCACAGAGATCACAACTCCCAATACGATACTAACTGAGAAGCACAGGAGTTGTAGCAAAACAGCCAGAAAAAACCAGTGATTTATTAGTGATTCTAAGGCCACCCAACTCTGGACGGTATACAGGTTAAAAACACAATTCAACAAGAGCCCATTAAATAATAGTTATTCTTCTCTTTTAAGATGATTATAAGTGGAAGGCCGGTCCTTGAGAAGGCTCAATTATTCAATCGGTTCAACGCAGAACAGAGTTGGAAGGGGCCACGAAGGTCTTCTAGTCCAACCCTCTGCTCAAGCAGGAGACGTAGTATACCAATTCCAGGCCAATGGCTGCCCAGCCTCTTCTTAAAACCCTCCAGTGATGGGGAACCCACAACTCCTGGAGGCAACTTCTGCTCCACAGGTTAATGGTTCTCATTGTCGGGAAGCTTCCCCTTAACGTCCTCTTGGTTTCCTTGAGGGTCCCTTGGGCTGCAAGGAGGCCCCATCCGTCGATCTGGAGGAAACCAAGGCTGTTCTTTGGAAGCTCCAATACTTTGGCCACCGAATGAGACTCCTGGGGGCTCTCTGGGCTCGGGGCTTTCCTTGGGGACATTTCAAGACCCAAACAGGTAACCTCATCAGTGTTATTCACTAGCACTGACAGGTTGCAAAGTTGGATCATGAAATGAAATCTGACCCACCAAGCTCAGAGAGCACCAAGGACCCTACAGTCCTCCTCCTCCTCCTCCTCCTCCTCCTCCTCCTCCCCCTCCCCCTTGCAACCTCCCCTTCCTTCTAGCACTGATGAGGTCACCAAGTTGGGTCATGAAACGCCTGCAAGAGACCCACCAAGCTCAGAGAGCACCAAGGACTCCACAGTTCTCCTCCTCTTCCTCCTCCTCCCCAACAACACTAACGCCCCCCCCCCCGCTTTCCCTAGCACTGATGAAGTTACCTAGTGGGCTCATGAAAGGTCTGCAAGAGAAGCAGCAAAGAGAGCACCAAGGAAGCCTCCTATCAACCCTGAGCTGCAAATGTTCTTATTTCTGAAAGGCCCTGATCTTGGGGGAGAAAGGAGAAGGGGACCCAATGAACACGGCATGTGGACAAACTCTGGGAGACGGGGACCTGACAGGGAGGTGCCTGGTATGTTGTGGACCTCCTCTACCCATAAGCTCAGCAGTGTCTCCTGAGCAATTCCTCCTCCACAGGGCCTTGAGTAGGGCTGCTGACCAGCCATTGCCCCCCCCCACAATAACAGTGGGGAAACAGCTGCCTTCCATGTTCTTTGTGGCACAATTCCTTCTTTCCGCGAGGCCCTTTCCTGAATGTGGGCTCCTCCGCACGTCCAACCGCTTCCTTGGGGCTGCACAAGCAGCTCCTTCTTGGCAGGACTTGGAAGGAGAAAGGAAGGGCAGCAGGGATCCCAAGGTCCCCGCAGGAAACGAAGGGTGGGAAGGCTGCGGGGAGGCCACCCCGGAGGATGAACAAGCGAGATTTAGGCGGATTAGCTGGTCAGAATTGTCCTTGTCATTACGGCAGACTTCTCGGTCCCTGGGTTGTCACTCCAAAAGAAACCCTCAGTCCTGGGGGGCCCTGTGGGCGATGGACCCCTGGAGGTCTTTAAGGAGGGATTGGTCTGAAGTGGTGCAGGGTTTCCTGCCTGAGCAGGGGGCTGGACTAGAAGACCTCCCAGGCCCCTTCCAACTCTTTCATTCTATTCTACGCCCGTTTTCGTTTTAAAATCCGTTCCATCTTTATTTGAAAAATAACTTCGTGCGTTGTTTTATCTTTTGCTGCTTGTTTGCTTTTGGCATTGAGATCAGAAAGAAAGGAAAGAAAAGGGCTGGGGAAGTCGGGCGCGCCTTCTCCGCACGGAGGGATTCATCTGAAAGGCCAGGGGAGACAACAGAAG